AATATTGACAACTAACTGCAGTCACTAATGAGTATAGCATTTCAACTAATATAAACATTTACGGAGTAACACAAGGACACAAATCATTTAAAATGATCGCTACCCCAAGTTCCAATTAAAGTTTGCTCAATCTGATAAGTTCTAGAACATTTCAACTGTTGACAGTCCGATTACATTTACAGAATATGTACAAAACATTTATGTAAACTTTAATAATCTGTTCACATCTGATATACTACTTAAAAACTCACCAACCACGTAGAAGAAAACTGAGTGTACCTAAAACAAAGAGAAAACAATCAGTAAGCAAAATTTTAAACTCTAATTCCTAACACACATTGATTGTACATTGGAAAAGGCATTACCAATAACTAATAATTAAAACTGATGATGTATACTAGATTAGTCTGAAATTTTTATCAGATTACTGTTTTACTTGTGGTATAATGGTGGATACTTTCCAAGAAGTACGACTTTGATAAGACTCTTTCATTGTCAGGTCTTTTATTAGGAGTTCGTTTCTTACTTTACCCTCAGTCCGATTGGTGATTCAATTATTTTATTAGCTTTATTGAATACTAGTTGCTATGCACATGTTTCGCAGTTGGATTAAAACAGTGGATTATAACGTGGTACTTTAAATTATACTGGAAAAACTGTTGCAAACCAATAATTAATTATAGAAGCAAATCCCTGTTGTACAGTACCGTAACTACTAATTTAGATAAATATCTCTTTGGTTCATGAATTTGCAATCAATTGTGTAGCAGAATCAAAATTTTGACTCAGTAAAGAGTAAACAAACAATATTCTACAACACACAACGCAACAATGTTATATTGAAGACTATATTCAACATTTTAAAAGTGATTAAAACCATTTTTTAATTAGTTAAGGTCCCTAGGAGAGGGCTAGTTGACAACTGGCATATTTCAGGGATGTTTCTCGTCAAGACCTTTCATTCTACTATGTAGTTAATCAGATTAGGGTTTTCTTAGATCCTTATTAGCTTGATAAATAGATTTACAACTTCTTGAACAGCATATTACTACTGATATTAATTTTTTACACACTGTTTCAACAAGATGGTAAATATTTATGAAAGCTGGTGGTGGTGATCGATTTCGATTGGAAATTCCAATTATCAGACCCAATACAAGACAGGCCAATTAACAATTAAACAATCTTCATCCAAGTAAAGAGTCATTATTTTGGTATTTTTATAATATCCCAAACAATAAACACAATTTTGGCCCCATCTCTACAGCATATAGTAGCATTAATGTGCATAAAATTCACTAAATGCAAAACGCCTGAATGATTTTCAAGATTTCTTAAAGAACGTTGAAATTAATCACCAACTTGAGAACTCGTAAACCATTAGCGTGAGGGGGGTTTTAATGAGTGAGAGGTCTAAAGTGAGATCTTGAACTAAGCTACCAATTATTGAGGGAAATCTATGAATTGATCTGCTTATGATTTGAAGGGATTGAAACTGGCTGAATATCGCCAAATACACTTCAGCTGGAATCGGAGAACACTTCTGGTAATGATCTGCTATTGAATATGACGAGGAAATATGTTTAAGATATAGTGTTGAAGATAGCCCACTTAAACATATGCATTAAATAGCTCCAAGCCGAATGTGAAATACTGGTTGGATTATTATTTTGATTCAATTAAATTCAGAAATTAGTTTTGAAATTATATAGATTTCACGTAGATGTGAATGGCGACAATGATACAGTTACATAAATGATAGAAAGAAAATTAATATAAGTTATTGGACAGTAAAGGTGAAAAATGTTCGTTTGTGAAACAACCGTTTAGCCAAAAAATATAACTGTTTAAATATTTTGTTATTTATTTAATTTTTAATCTTTATTTAAAAACTAATTGGACCACTTTTATATGTATTTACCGTTAAAGTAAATTGTATAAGTGTAAATATATTATTACAAGTGTTATTCAACGTATTTTTGTGCTTTCAGGTAATTTAATAACAAGTACGATGCTGATAAAGAAGTTATTTAATCTTATTTAAGTTTAGAAATAAGCTAAAAGAAATGTATAGAAAGAACCTCAAATTTTGTCAATAGATTATGTACTTTTTGTTATTAGTTTTATTTAGTATTAGTAATTAAATTGACAAGAGTTATCCTGTAAAGCAGTATGTACTGAGGAACGCTTGCTAAATAAAGGCATTTTTATTTATTTATTATTTTATTAATTTATTGACAAGCGTTAACATATTTTATGCAACGTACGTTGGGTTTTCTCTCAAGATCCCTATAATTTGCTTATTGAATTGGAAATCACTGCGGGGGTTTGCATTATTGCTAATCATATTAAATGTTTCTAATAATGATGAAATGCTATTTTTTTTTAGTTAAGAACGGTTTTGTAAATGTAAAAACCCATTGACAATTAGATTACCGATTAAAGTGTTCTGCAATGAGCATTGCCATAGTAGACAATAGACTATATTACATTGAAATAATCATAGAGAACATCCAAACGTCAGGTGCAAAGTTAAAACCAATTTTGTAACATAAACAAATCTAATTAACTCCAAGCATTCATCTTATTGCAGTATTTTAATGATTGGCAATTTAATGTAGTTTGTAAAAAACTGCTTGAATAAAAAAGGGACTCTTAACATTAAAACTCAAAAGCCAATTCGGAACCTTGAAGGTGGATTTTTTATAACTACCAAAAGAAAAATTTAGGAGCTTAAGAGCTTCGATTTTACATTTACCAAACACTCAGAGGTTTAAATAATTAAATTTAAAAATGCCAAAGTTCATCAACTTAAAATGGAAAAATCGTCAAATATTTTAACCTAAAAGTCTAAAAATGCACCAAATAACACTTATAATATAATAGTCAAATAAGTGTTGTGCTTTTAGGTAATTCAATAACACGTACGATGCTGATCAAGAAGTTATTTAAATGTTTTTAGTATCGTATGGATGAAAACCCGTATTTACCACTCTTGCATTTAAATATAAAACAAGTTTCTTCACGGATTCGATATATCGTATGTGTAACAAAATCAGTATCCTTTGCTACTTTTTTATGGCAAATCAAAGACTTTATGGATATGAATGTTCATTTAGTAAACATTATACAAGTTAAAGACTTACTGTAAAATTATATGTTTAAATATAATTGTATATCAGCACATTTAACAAACATTAAACGACGATTTTTTAATCTTCCCTATACAGTACTCCTGTTCTGCACGGATTAAAATTGACGTTACGGCTCACCACCCACAATCAATAGTTACGGTTTTTTTTTTCATCCTAAAAGTTAAATAGATACCGAAACACTCGCAAAAACTACATCAGTGTTCATTAATTCACGCCGTGAGAAGCATAAAACATCTTAGAGAAATGAAAATTCAGCTCTTGAGTAATAACACTCAAGGTGCACATTTCGTGTATGCGGGAGAGGGTAAAATATGGAACGAGTCAATTTGGAGGGTAAATCAGTTTAAGACCTCAGGCGAGCAATTTCAACCCCCACTCTCCACCCTCACTCACACACACACACGCACTCTCTCTCCCCCCCTCCCATTCTCTCTCTCTCTTCCCCAACCACTCCCATAAGCTGTCATAATCAAATCTACCGGAGTTTACCTATTGGCCACACGTTCCTAAGTATGTAGTTACAACATACTTGTACCTAACAGCATATTTGGAGTACTACACATTTTAAATTATAAACTATACAAATACAGTAAAAAAAAAATTACTTAAATATAATTTACATAAATGCGTTTTACTGGTTGTAAGGGGTTAAAAGTATTCGTTAATTTATTTATTGACGTATGAAGTGGAAGACTATGATAACTTGAAGAACTTGTTAGACTAAATATAAATGGTAAAAAGTCTAAAATGAACTCATTCATACAGGGTGAATACAAATTCAAGACCCCCCATCTAATATTTTTCTAAGTAAATATACTGTACAGAGATATCCTTTTGGTGGTCGAGCAATCTTAGAAGAAAGTTTCATTTTATAATTTTGAAATTTTTGAGCGTCCCCATCTTTTTTGAAACAACTCAAAATTTTTTAAATGTAAACCCCCTTCAAGTGACACCTCATTTTGATGTGTTTACGAAAAATGAAAGAATGCTGAAAACCAGAGTTACTATATACCTATGTTCTATAAAAAATGGTAGCCCGTTAAATGTATTGAAGACAACACATAAATAATACATGTATATTTCATTAAATTGAAAGTTAATTTCGTCTGTACCACGAAATAGAAAGAGATCAAAATCAAAGGAACTTCCAGCCTTCAATATTAACCTCTGACTCTAGCTCAACCCATTATCCTCTCTACCTTACTGAGTTGAGATAAGTCAAAAGTTAACTTTACCATTAAACTTGTAATAATCTCTGTCCAGTTGGAGCTAAGAATAGTCCTTGAAATGACAAAGAGTGGTTGTCGAATCTAGGGAACCACTTTCATTTTACTTTAGTGTATTTGATTTGATTATGATCGAGACTTTCAATCGCAAAGTAACACACAGTAAGGTTAAGAATAGAATAGAATGTGATGTTTATTTAAATCGTTTAACATTACGATTTTCATAAAAAAAAAACTCAGAGTATTTTTACAAAATTAGTTTTTTCTGTTGTGACCTTTTTATAATTCTCAACTCAGACTCTTTAGGTGTTAAAAATCGACCTTATAGTTTGGTCAAAGGACCAAACAACTAAACTGTGTAGTATATGATTAAAACGTAAATCAATTTGTATCAATTCTAAAACATCGTTATCCTTCAATACTTTGCATATTCCCACGCCTAGTAGGCTATCAGATTCAACAGCGAATTTCCTGTACAAATGCTGTAACAATTAATTTTCAAGTTCAACAGGAAATATTCTGTATTTTCCGTAACAATTATTGTAATTCCCTATCAACGAATAGATCGAACAAACTGCGATTGTAAACCTAATCCCAGCTGATTCCTGGGAATCGTTTAGATTTTAGTAAAACATGGTCGTGTATACAGTTTGTATGATTCTATTAACCTATGTTTACATCGCTGATTCATTTGGGCCTAAAGTGGTAAGTAAATTAAAATACATTCGATGTTCGCTAACAAGAAATACGAACGAGGTGACTATCATGTTTCCTAACAAACCCTAATCTGTTTTACAAGTACAAGCCCCCGTTGATTGAGAAAACTAGATAATTAGTGTACCAATAATACCTCAGGTGGTGGTGTAGGTTTTTGCGATTTGCATATCTGGAGGTATCAAATTTCTTACACCTTAGTATGAGAGGCCTGTAGTTGTAGAAGACCTTAGTATGCAAACGTTGATATCCCAATGTTTCTATTCCAGGGACCTTACGACTTGGAAATTATCAAGTTCGAGAATTGTGAGGACGAAGGGTCCAAAAAGTTTGTTTTGGGCACCCGCATAACCAACGCTGGCAAAGGGAAATACATTTACAAAGAGAGCGTTAAATTCGGAGTACCAGTGGATGGAAAGTTCAAGGTAAGTCCAAATATCTTATCACTTTAATTTTGTTAAGAAATTTACCTAATTAAAGCCAATTTGTGCAACCTTGTTCGGAAAGGAAAATTATTCATACTCAGTAACTCAGGTAATAGTTGTAGATGTAGACTAACTTCGAAACTTCTACGGATTTGTAGTCCGATGTATGCTACTGACGCTACTGTGTAGACGAAATTGTATATACCTTTTCTGAATACGCTTAATTTTCTTTAAGAGGTTGGCGGCCATTTTAACCTTACATTTGCCCGTCCACTAACTGCCTGTGCGTGGAACGTATCCAGCAAAGCAAGGGGTGATCCGGTACAGAACAAAGGTGAACTGTACTGATAGCACAATAATTTGAGATGCAATTTAAACAGGTTCTACTTGAAGCCCAGAGATGGGGCAACGGCGGTTGGAGGCCGAAAGCGTTCGAACATAAGTTGAACAACTGTGAAGACATCATGAAAGTGGCGGGAGATACGGTCAAGGGATTTATGAAGTCTGCTGGAGTCAATGTGGAGAAATGCCCGATACCTGCGGTGAGATTACATCCTTATCATTAGTATCTTGAACGTTCTTTGAACCAATGTTTAAAGATCTTTTGGTTGATTTCAAAAATCCCTAGGTTAATTTCGACCCTTTCAATCTTAATCTTGATCACTTTTGGCTTTGATATCCCTAGTATGATTTTAACGATCGTCCATTCATCATTATCATCATTGTATGATTTTCATCATCTAGTGCTTTATATTAATCAAACCTGAAACAGGCCTTAAGCTAGTTTAAAGCGAATTTGAATGATAATAACAATTATCTTCAAAAGATTAAACATTTCCGATTAGGATTTTCCAACTTAGCAAATTTCGTTTTTGTTTTATACTATGTGCCTAATTGATATGTTCCATATTGTAGATTGATCCTTAACATTTCTTTCGTAAACACATTGAAATATTACGTTTGTTCTCTACAGTTTCTTGATCAATAAGGTTAAATTTTAAGGACAACAAAATGCCTTTGCGGTTGAAAAATAGTTATTTGTGCAACTAGTGAGAAAAGTGAGCAATTGACTCACTCGAGAGAAATCCTTACTCACGAGCCGTAGGCGAGTGAGGAATGGTTTCTCGAGTGAGGCAATTGTACTTTGAACTCGAGTTGCACATTATACTTTTCCTACAGTTACCATAAAACAAATAAATTGGTGAAGAAACATAACCTATTTTTACACAGAAGTGAACTTTTAATGTGAAGTGACAAATACAACAGCACAACAGCTGACCAGCTTATTTACAGCCAGTGCTGCCAACGTATTTCACGCGCATACGACGTTGCCTGCATGTTACGCGCTCACTATTTCATGCCTTCACGTTGCAAATCTGGAGTGAGACAAAGTAGTTAGAGTGAGACAATGTTAACATTGTCTCACTGATGAGCGAATTGGCCACTTTGCTTTCTCAAATCAGTGAGAGAACATGTACATTGTTAGGTAACTGTGGGAAAAGGAAATTGTCTCTTCGTTTAAAGTTCCATGTAAAAAATGAGGTCTCTTTGACCTCTTGGACTTCGGTGAAGAACCCCCACGAAAGGCGAAAACTTACATTTGTCCTACAGTCACCTGACAAAGTGAACTTCCTTGCACTGATTATAGTACAGAAAGTTGCTTTCAATCTTCTAGGGTTCGTACCAGTCGGATTGGTTGATAGAGACCGACCTCAGCAGAGCTTTCCCCGCGATGGAGTACGGCAAATACCGAGTCATCCTCAAGTTCTACTCCAAGGACGAGTACGTCGGATGTTTCACAGCGCAAATCGAAGTGAAACCGAAATCATTCGGATAAGTACAAACAATTCTGGTTATTGCAGTAAATAAAATATTGGATAACATACATGAATGCTTTATTGAGTGTGATTTCCACTGCTATAGTCTGTATGATGTGACCTGTCTGCTGCATCATAGGGTATGGTGAATGTTTACTAAAAGACTATAAGCTAAAATAAACTACATCTCAGATCAACCAAGAATAGACGAGTTAGAGACAGGTTCCACCATACAGACTGTAACTTTGTCAAACGATAGACACAAAATACATTAGCAGCTTTATTGAAATGTGTATCAACCTCAAACTTATGTTAAGAAAGTACTAAAAAAGGGGGTGAACAGGTTAAGAAGAATAAACAACTGTATTATAGATGTAGTATTGGCGCCAGGGTACGAACCTTATATCGCTATCTCGGATTCGCAACGATTAAGGAATTGACTCCCTACTTCTTATCAATAAATGAACCATCCTAATTATTTTTTGAGATTGTTCACATATTTCTCGCATAAACATGTTCTTTCCTTGCCAGAAAAATACTGTAAGGATTTTATATTCGATACACAATAGAAACATGCAACTACAAAAGACTTATTATATTAAAAACTTATATTATATATAAACTTAAAAGAAAAAACTGTATTGAAAATGTTTAAACTACTTTAAAAAAATGTATATACATTATTAGTTGAAGTTAAAGTAATATATTATTGTTGTTTATTCTAATAGTTTATTTATTATTGTTACTGTTGAATTTTTACAGATATTTGTGTCTTTGTTGTCTTTTTTTTGTTATTAATTACTCAAGAGACAATTAAGGACTCATAAAACTCCATGCTACTGATTCAAACTGACAAAACTGTATGGTAAATAAGAAACAATATTTTTAGTGCAGACAAGCCATTTGTGGTTTTGTATCCTATGTATTGGAAATTATTGTGTTAATAAATTTCTTGATTGATTGATACTCTAAAAGATTGTCAAGAATGATTCGTCATTCGTTCATGGCCTTCAATAACAAAATGAAAGAGCAAAAAACGTATCAATTTCCACAGTTAGTATTATGCAATTGAATGTATTGTATTCGTTGTTGGTATTGGTACTATACGATCTGATAGTGTTGCGGACAAAAAGCCGATACAAGGAAGGATGTGCAGCGTTTCCCACCAAACCTACACACGTTTACAGCATGGTCAACATGATAGCTCTGGTGTTTCTGCTCATTGCCATTGTAGGCTTGGTCTACCCGTTTGGACCCAAGGTGGTGAGTACAAAAAATATCAATGTGGATGTTATAAGAAAACCCATACGAAAATTAGTTTCGTTGTTTCATCCAAGTGTTTTCAAGTGTCCTGTAGTGAATTATTATTGTAACTGATACAAGTAATTTCGCCAAAGACGCAAATTACCTAACTCTTGAAAAAAGGTTAAAGTGGTTCAACAAGTCAAAAATGACGTAATAATCTATATATATACTGTACATTATAATCCAATTATGTTTGAATGTTTGTATGTTTGTATATTTGTATGTTTGTCCTTTATGGACTCCAAAACCGCTCGACAGATTGTAATGAAACTTTCAGGCATTATTAAGCATTATTCAAGGATGGTTTGTGTGAAGTTTGGTGCAGATCCGTCAATAGGGCTCCGCCCCAGTGGCTCTGGAGTTTCCCATGTTAACCTTATGAGTACTCATATTTAAATGGAACTAGCTGGCCCGACAGACGTCGTCCTGTCCTATTGTGGTTTTATGTCACATGCTCCCGATGCTCGTTCATTTTCAAGATGAGCTCGTTTGCATGGCTCAATCACGTCCTGGTTGAAGTTCACGCTCACTCACTTTTAGGTTGGAGCTCGTTCGCTGCGCTCACTTGCCTTCAGGTTAGCTCGTTCGCTACGCTAACTCGCCTCCAGGTTGAAGTTCGTTCGCTACGCTCACTCACCTTTTGTTTGCAAATTAGCTGTTCTCATAAATTAAAAATAAATATAGTGCTGCACCCTGTTGGTAAACCTATTAACTTTTTAATGCTATTGAACATCACAGAATCAAATTGTTTAGTTGCACCAGCTGTTAAGATTCTTTAATTCCATTTAAATATGAGTACTCATAAGGTTAACATGGGAAACTCCAGAGCCACTGGGGCGGAGCCCTATTGACGGATCTGCACCAAACTTCACACAAACCATCCTTGAATAATGCTTAATAAAGCCTGAAAGTTTCATTACAATCTGTCGAGCGGTTTTGGAATCCATAAAGGACAAACATACAAATATACAAACATACAAATACACAAACATACAAACATACATTGGATTTTATATATATAGATTAAAGAATCTTAACAGCTGGTGCAACTAAACAATTTGATTCTGTGATGTTCAATAGCATTAAAAAGTTAATAGGTTTACCAACAGGGTGCAGCACTATATTTATTTTTAATTTATGAGAACAGCTAATTTGCAACCAAAAGGTGAGTGAGCGTAGCGAACGAACTTCAACCTGGAGGCGAGTTAGCGTAGCGAACGAGCTAACCTGAAGGCAAGTGAGCGCAGCGAACGAGCTCCAACCTAAAGGTGAGTGAGCGTAGCGAACGAACTTCAACCAGGACGTGATTGAGCCATGCGAACGAGCTCATCTTGAAAATGAACGAGCATGAGACATAAACATAAAACCACAATAGGACAGGACGACGTCTGTCGGGCCAGCTAGTTTTCTGAATAAAATTCATTGTTTTTCAAAAAAAATTAAAATTAGAGCGTCAGAAAAATAAATAGTTATTTAAATACAACCAAATCAAACACTGTCACACTCATATCGGTTTATCATAGCCTAACAAAATTTAACGAGAATATAAGTAAATCAACAACATACTTTGACTTTTAAAAATTTAAATGTCACATCTGGCTCGAAACGACTACACAAAAGAGCCACACATGTATTACATTCTTTTATGGCATTTAATAATATTACCCCAAGGATTTCAATTAGAGTTAAACGATGAGAGTAATGCTAAAACTGACACACCAATACAACGCGCACAATATTATATCCACCACTTTTTTCAGGGGCCTTATGATATTGAGATAGAAAAACTGGAGAACTGCAAAGACCAAGGGGAAGCTAAAATTATTATGGGAAGCAAGATCACCAAGGCGGGCAGAGGGAAGTACCTTTACAAGGAGAACTTCACGTTTTTGGTGCCGATGGACGAGCATTTCAAGGTAAAATATATGATTTTTGTGACAATTGACACTACATTAACTGTCAGGGATAGTGTACTCGTATAAATCTATACACTTATAAAGATATTAAGTTGGGTCTTTCTAATTGTTCTTGGGATATAAAATATTGAGGGCATGTAAACCACAAACTGTAATCGGTTTTTAACAAAATCTCGTTAAAAAGGAATTGTTACTCGCATGGAATCAGCTTATTGCAATGTTTAACTAATACAAAAATTGTTTGCATAAAAAATTAGGTGTTCCACATACAATTTATTTTTATCGTATACCGTCAGAGAATGTACAAACTCTTTGGTTAAATGAAATACAAATAAATAAGAAAGGCCCTAATAATCCGGGACCATTTGGATAGCAAGGTCCGTGTTGATGGGGAATGAATTAACAAGGTTTTACTGTGCTTACACAAAATCGTCTGATTACAATGTCAAATGTTTTCTGTATGTTAATTATTCTCAGCTTTTAAGTTCGTTAAAAATATTTGTTTGCATCGGAAAACGCTCTATTACCTAAAACTATAAGAGAATGTTCAAGGCCTAATCAGTATAAGATTTTAAATGGTTGTAAAAGATATTTCTGAGGGAATTGAAAAAGAAAGCCAATACGTAGAACATGTGATTATTTGTTAGTTTTTAGGTGAATTTAAGTGTGATTTTGTTTGTTCACATAAGCAGGATGATTTGAAATAGGTAGGTAACTAAAAGAGTGATGTACCTAGTCAACATAAATAAATGAAGAAAATTATTTTTAAAACATTATGTGTATTTAATTTGTAAAATAAATTTAAGTACTTATATAATACACAACCGCTTGCATAAAACTTCGGAAAACTAAAATTTGGCTAATTTGTAGTATATATACACACTCGTTCTCCTCTATGTGGTGGTGTGCTCTATTTCGTGTTCTTCTGAATGTGTCATGTAAATGTTATTAGTGACAACATATTGAAAGCATCTGTTTAACTTAAGTATCACGATTACACACAACCCATGACCGTAGTTTGCAACTCTTTAAACTTTTATACAAGGAAAGTATGGAAAAAAACTTAACATTGATTTTTACAGGAATATATCGAAGTCCAAAAATGGGGAAATGGAGGATGGAGACCAAAATACATGGAGACGACACTAAAAGACTGCAATGATATCATGAAAGTGGTCGGTGACTTTTACAAAAGCTTGATGAAGTCTGCAGGATTGAATCTAGAGAAGTGTCCCGTGCCAGCGGTAAGTAAATATAAAACAAATAATTATAGACTGAATTCATTACTTCATCTTGGTGTATTAAAAACATTAGCCACTGGAGGAAGTGAGTGAAAGTGTTGAAAGGTGGAGATCCAGAGTCACAAGGTCCAATCAGAGTTTTTTATCTGTATCGTAAACATCCCTATATGTATTCAATTGTTAATCACGCCCAAGAACTAAATAGCTAAAGGAGGAAAGCGATTTGAACTTGTTTTAAAGATAGTAGTCATAATAGGGACACCAAGCTAATATGCATGCAGTTCTGGTAACTATTGGGAGCTTCGGCTGGAGCGAGGCTTTCAGAAGCCTCTGTAGTCTTGTCATTTCCAGGTCCTTGCCACTGAGGAGAAAATTAAAATAATAATTTAGTATTTTATATTACCTACTTTACGGTATGGCATTGTACCATGTTACTCAGTTAAAGTGAATGCCTGCTCGATGTTATTCAAGTGTAAGCGATTGTACTGTCATGAATACATATAAAATGTATTTATTGATCTTCAGCAAATCTATTAATTGTAGCATAAAAATGTATACTGTAGTTGTGATTTTTAATAGTTTTGATACAGATTTGTAGAATAAAACACATTCACAAAGACACTGCTTCACCAAATGCTACTTGGGTCAAAAATAGTTTAAATAGACATTTAATTCGATTTATTTTGAACAAAAAACGTATATTTTAGTAGCAAAAATCAAATTTGAACCCAGTTCAAGCCTTAAACTTAGACCTAATTGCTTTAAAATGGGACACGAGCAGCTATAAGATGTTGAACAAGTGTTGTATTAATACAATTTCAACTTGTTTAACATTCCAGGGAAGTTACAAAGCTAACGGCTGGCTTGTCGAGCTCAACCTAGAGAAGACCGTCCCAGTCATGGAGTACGGCAAGTATCGTGCCTTTCTCAATCTTCTCTACAAGGAAAAGCTGGTCGGATGTATGATGATATACGCCGAAATAAAACCAAAGGCTATAGGCTGAGTTCTACTGGTTATTGTAACCAAAACTTTAAATACACATTTTAATCTTTCTTGTCTATCTAATACATCATTATCCTAAGTGTGGTCTGGATGTAATGTGAATTAATATCAAGCTTATGTAAACATTTAATTTTATCTTTTAAAATGCACTACTAACCCAACATACATGGATATTCTTTTCTTTGCGTGTTAAGATTTTAATGCGAGCACTTCGTGGTTTATAAAGCTAGACTCTTCGATCTGATTTCCTATTAGACTAACAAATAACAGTATATCAGTTTCCTAATCGCACTTCAGAAAGAAATCAACAATAATGTCTCCTCATTTAACACAAAACGTATAAAAAGCTTCAAAACTGTTAGGATTGAACATGTTAAATAAGTGAAGAGCCCTGGAGTCCTTGGATGATTTCAAACAGCTGCTGAAAAGTTATGTATCACCCAAAATATTTTTTTTCAAACACCACAAGTGATTGTAATATCTAGTAAACTGTGAGACTAGAAATGTGCTTTGTCGTTTTGAATTGTTCTCCAAGGGAGTGCATGGAAGCTAACGGCCATCTTGGATTTGTCTGTCATGAGAGCAATGTTAATTTTGTTGATTTCAATCCGCTGAAGAGTTATTTATCATCTCAAAATATTTTTTTTCAAACACTAGAGTGATTGTAACTTAAATATCTAGCAAACTGTGAGATTATACATTTTCTTTGCAATTTTTTGATTGTTTTACGAGTTAGAACTTCTAGGCTCCAAGGACTCTTATCACTTAATTCACAGATTTTCTCAACAGTGTTTTTGGTAGAGACCGACTTCAGCAGAGTAGCGCCAGCAATGGAGTACGGCAAACACCGTGTGATTCTCAAGTTCTACTCCAAGGATGAGTTCGGTTCTACAGCGCAAGTGGACGTGAAGCCGTAGTCATTTAAGCAGCAAATAAAATATTGGTATAATATGCATGAATGCATATTGTTTAATGTGTGAGAGTTCCATGGTTATAGTCTGTATGATGTAACCTGTCTTCTGGCCCTCCACCTACCTAGGTAAATTTTAAAGCTTATGATGAAACGAACCAACGAATTGTAACTAAAACGATAACTTTCTTTAGGGCTTCGCCCAGTAGCGTTTGATTTGTTTCTAGAGTTTAATTTGAAACATCCTGTAATGCTAACCAACTTTATTTATAGGTTCAGTCGTGAAATTTCAATGCAAACAGCTGATCGTTCATTTGATTATCAATACTAATCATGAATCCTTGGAATCCAGTTTCAAACCCTAACAAAATCCGCAATTCTACGCACTGGTCTACTCATGATATTTTGTAATTGAATCGATAAGTTGATGTCACATTATTTTATTAAATACACAATAGCAATATGTTACTGTACAAAACTTAAAACAATCATAGGAGAAACACTATCTATTAAAAAAATACATCAACTAAAAAAACCGTATTGAAAATGTTTGAAAAACTCTAAAAGATTGTCTAGAGTGATTTGACAGTCGAACATGGCCTTCAAAAGTAAATTTACACGATGAGGAAAAAAGGACCACAATCAGATATCGTTTTCGGACAACACTTGGTACAAGGAAAGTTTTCCAGCGTTTCCCATCAAACCAACGCACGTTTACAGCATGGTCAACGTGATAGCTCTGACCGTTCTATTCGTTGCCATTGTAGACTTGGTCTACCCGTTTGGACCAAAGGTGGTGAGTACAAAATATTTATATGTGTCAAATTATTTCGCCACAGAAAAATATACAATAGGTGAAAGTGATTTCAACAATTCACAAACATACTCTAAATAGTAATACTTTACTGGATGAAATTCATCGTTTTGCAAAACATTTTCAAAAAGTTGAAAATACTATTGCAAATTATGGTGTAGTAAAGAGTCAATTTAGTCTCTAGCTGCAAAATATATTATTTCCGAATCCACGAACTTGTCAGATAACTTCAAAAAGACTACGAAACACAGCCAAGCTCGTGTTAAATATGGAAATTAATAAAACTATCTAAACATTTCAAAGGGAGTTCAAATTCTGTCAGTCAAGATTGGAATTTATCTAAGTGATAATGAAGCGACCCTCCCCAAATCCAGCCCGAAGTAATGTGGAAAACGATTCCTGGCTAGAACCTAGAAGAATATAATAGCAACGCGTTATATCATATATGCAACTAATTTTCAGGGGCCATATGATATTGAGATAGAAAAGTTGGAGAACTGCAAAGACCAAGGGGAAGCTAAAGTTACTATGGGTATGAAGATCACCAAGGTTGGTAGAGGGAAATATCTGTACAAGGAGAACTTCACGTTCCTGGTGCCGATAGACGAACATTTCAAGGTAAAAGTTATGATTTTTGTAATGAGCAGAACTACAAATATAGTAGCCGGAATGTAAAACCAACTTGGACAAGACTTAAAAATAGACAGTTATAATAGACTTGGCTATAAAAGGTGTATTTCATAAAATTGGACTATGATATTTACAAAAACTATACATTTAAAACTTTTAAACTGCTCCTAAAATAACTCACTTTGGAATTTCAAACGAAATTGGGATGCCAAAAAAGTGCACTTTTATGCTATATAGAGTTATGCAGAGTTTGGTTTTCCTGGTGTAACCCATTAAAAAGTTGATAGGGGGTTTCCAGACTTTTTATTAACCCATATAGGTATATTACATAGCCATTCCCGTAGGCTATAGTGAATACCCAATCCATGTTATTTTTTGTCACTACATTTTGAAAGAATCTACTTTCTTTATTTTGAATCACGGTTTCAAAACCTATGAATACAATTACTCTTTGAACTTTTAACCATGGGAAGATTGAAAAAAACCTAAAATCAATGTTTACAGGAAAGTATCGAACTCCAAAAATGGGGAAATGGAGGATGGAGACCAAAATACATGGAGGTGACACTAAAGGGTTGTGAAGATGTCATGAATAGACTCGGAGACTTTTACAAGAGCTTGATGAAGTCTGCAGGATTGAATTTAGAGAAATGTCCAATGCCAGCGGTAAGTTAGTGTCAAAAAGCGAATTCACTACTAACTAGGTGTCTCCAAAGCCTTTACTGTAGTTGCGGGGGAAATTATCGTTGTGTGAAAGGGCTGTGGCGAATAGTAAATATCCAGCCACACAAACACAACGATCATAGTCCTTGAGCTGTTTCTTAACGTCCATAATTAAGTATCCGATTTTTTAAGTATGCTCGAAGACTAAAGCCATAACTTAGGAAAGAAAGAAACTTTAGCTTGTTTAAGAGATAGTAATAATATTCTAAGGGGTATCACAACTTGGCGGGATGTGTGGGGGACTATGTGGAACTTAGGGAGGGGACGACAACAGCAGAGGCAGGATGGCTTCAAATGGCATAAACCTCTTGCCATTTTGAATTATTGCTATTTCAGGTTCTTGCCACTGGGGTAAACTAATAATAAAAAAACTGATCAATATTTTATGTTACATTACAGTATTGCAATGTATTACGTTACTAAGTTACTTGCCTGGCGCTATTCAAGAGCAAAGACTAGTATTTATTTATTGATATTTAGCAAACATATCTATTGTAGCAAGACAATTTACAGACATACTGCAGATTTTATAATATTGTGACAAACCGAATGGAACGCATTCATAATGGTGTAAGGTGAAAATTAGCAGTCGCTCCATTAAATACTAGATGGGTCAATAAAGGGCTGGGTAGACTTATATATTTAACTTTATACATTTTGAACAAAGAAAATATTTAATGATGAGAATGAAATTTCGAACCGATTTTCTATGTCCAACGTGCACTTCGATTAGTGACAGCTACAATATTTTGATTAAGTGTTTTCATAAGTTCAACTACTTTTACATTTCAGGGAAGCTACAAAGCCAACGACTGGCTAGTTGAGCTCAACCTGGAAAAGACCGTCCCAGTCATGGTGTATGGCAAGTATCGTGGTATTTGCAATCTCTTTTACAATGATAAGCTGGTCGGATGTATTATGATATACGTAGAAGTCAAGGCAAAGGCTATAGGCTGAGTTCTACTGGCTATTTTAATTGAAACAACAAATAAACATTGAAATCTGTCTTGTCTATCTGTCTATCTGAGACCCTTGTGAACGTATCCCTCAAGTATGGTTTAGACACAAATTGGATTAGTAATGTTGAGCTTATATAAACATTTCATTTTATCTCATAAAATTCTCTGCTAACCCAATATACTTGGGATGTTCTTTTCTTTGCGTACGGAGATTTTACAGAATTGAGTCAAGCACTTCATGTCATGAAGATGGACTCTTCGATCTATATCAGTTTTCCACCTTTGCATCAATAAAGCAATTAATAATTATGTCTTCCCACTAAAACAGAACTTCTAACCGCTTCACAGCTGTGAGAATTTAAAAAGCTATAGAAGGCTCGTACATTTAATTTTCTACTCGTGTCGTTAACACTTTTACACGAGTTGCGTACACTACTTTACCTACGACAGTGGTTTAATTACTAAAAATCATTACTCGTAACTTCTAAGAGAGGTTATGTTTTCGTTTATAACCTCTCATTGCCACTGACAGTGATGCAACGAAAAATTGTACTAAACACTAATTGCACCACTCAACAAATTGAATTGGCCTAAACAGCTGATTAGTTGAAGTTCCAATCATTACAATTTTACTACTTCTCTCTCAATCCTTGAACCTGATTGGTCCTTCGCCCGTGTTGTTATGCGTAAAACTATGCTGTTATGAAAGTAAAGAATGCTGTTATGGGACACTTTTCAATTCTTATGAACTGAACTGAAACGGCTACTTAAAAAAACGGTCGAAGGTAGTACACTTCAATATACTAAATGGTTTGTTTTTGTAAGCTCTTCGAAATGGTCTATAGATAAGCTGGGAAATCTTTATGTTTCGAGGGTCAAAAATGGGAAAACCCAATTTTCACCCCATAAACCCCGGTTTTCATGGTCCGATCATGCTGGTTGGCAAACCCATTTAAGTTCTCGACCTACACCTTTAACCCAAACTTGATGAAAATCGAACCAAAACTACCCGAGTTATCGCGTTCACGGACACACACACAAACATATACAACAATTTGAACTAATAGTGTTTTTAGCTTCTGAGGACATCAAAATAAAAAGTAAATCGGTCCCGCGCCTAGGTCATACCGTGCCACCTATGGTAATACCTACTTCACTATAACGAAATTCACTTAAATCTTTGATGAGACGAGGGAATGGAATACATAAAATACTTTACTAATCATTTAAAGAAAATGTAAAAGTCTTAAAACATTAACACTTCAAACTGTAAACATATTAGACCAACTTAATCAAGCAGCTGATACAACAAGATACATCAAAAAGATTATATTGCACAAGCAAAGCAATACTGTACTATATAAAATCCTCAACAATTTAACAACTTTTTGATCATGTTTATAGATCGATTACGCACGATCAGATAAAAACACAGGAAACCAAATTAACGTCACGGCAACATTGGTGTTGACATGAGTGTTTTCGAAGGTCAAATGAGAACGGTTAACATCTACGCTCTGTGGTAGCGCACGTGTAGCGATGTGGGGCAAGATCTACTTGTTGTTGGTTATTGGCATCAAGCTGACGGGAGCGTTTCTACCTAAAATTGTAAGTAACCAAATTTGGTTATCGTTATACCGCGGCGAAATTCTTTGCAAGGAGTAAAATACAAGTTTCTTTTAGCGAATTTCCCAAACAGGGAATAAGCTATTTTGATTTACTTCTTACTCTGTCTTGATTCATTATTTGATTCTGCAGGCAGAGTTTTTGCAAAATTGTTAATCTTTGTTTGTGTCTAAAGTTTATTTAAGATTGATGCAATGTCTTGTACACAAGTGGTATTGCATATACAGGGTGTTCTTAAAGATTTTTTGGGGTGTTACACCAAATGTGTTACCCAAACTGTGTATTATTAGAACTGAAAAATTATCATTTAAAAAAAATGGAAAAAACAAGCTTACATAAACATTTTTAAAGAAATATTCTAGAAAGTAGCAATTGCTATTAAAACTTCTCCAAACTGTAAGCTTTGAAAAGATATAATAATTATAGTTGTCCTTTAACTAAAGTTATGCCTGGTTAAGTAATGAAAAAACAATGATTAATTAAAAATTATTATATCTTTTGAAAACTGACAGTTTGGATCAGTTTTTATAGTAATTGCTACTTTATAGCATTTTTCTTTAACAATTTGTATGTAAGCTTGGTTTTTTCCTTTTTTTAAGAAAATGATAATTATTCAGTTCTAAAGTTTCCTATACTTCAGATTCATCTAAAACTATATATCCTTACTCAAGATTTAATGTAGGATGCAATCGTAGTGTTGAAGTAAAAAAATAATGTAAAAAAAACCAAAATTTTGAAGGTTTTTTGCTAAATGTTGTTTTTTTTTATAATCAAAATGATTTTTCTTTGAATGAGTGTGAGATTGAGGATTTTTTAAATTGTGCATTTGAGTCACATTTGGGTCGGTGTACCACACCAAAAAGTCTTTAACTCTAGGTCAAGACCCTGTATAAATATTTCCAAACTTAAACTACTAACACATTACTTCTATCTACAGGGACCGTATGACATTGAAATTGAAAAGTTTGAGCAATGCGAAGACATTGGATCTGGTAAAATATTTTTTCCCAGCAGAATAACTTCTGTTGGAAAAGGTAAATACATCTACAATGAGAACTTCACACTTGAAGTTCCGTTTGATGAACATGCAAAGGTAACTGCATTCAACGTTAAACTTAGTCAAAATACATATCTAATTGACTGAAAACTTCTGCATATAAACACTAGAAATCTGGTGGTGTTTTTTCTCAGACCGAGATCGAGGAATGTACCTGAATCGAATCATCTTCCTATTTTTAGTTATTCTTCTGGACAGTACAAGTAAAAAAACTGACCCACCTGTAAACAATCTACAGACTAATATTTATAACAGAATTGTTGTCAGAGTAATTAGATCATTGAGCGGAGCGAGCAAAGCTTTTATCCACTCTTATGCTTTTCGTCATATGAAAACTTCTCCTAGACTACTGAAGAAATTATTTTCAAATTTTGCACGGTAATGAAGACTTCTATACGTTGTTAAAAGATTCTCTAAGACATCCGCCCCACAGTGTCTCGAAATTTCAATGTAATCCGTATAAAAGCAGTAGTTGGCACTTAAACAAAGGCATAAGATCATCTGTTGACTTAAACGCAGTACATCAGGAAACAGCTGATTATTTTACCTGTTAATCACGGATAAAAGCACAGAAACCGTAAGGATCATAAACATAAACAAACTATGCCACTGGCTCGAAACTTATACTACACAGCGTCAACATATGGTTCGGACGTTTTATGACAGTTCCAATTAAATAATAATAAAAAAATTGTTTTCTTTCAAGCCAATGACGTAATTTTTTGTATTTATGATCGATAGATTCTGTTCCAATATTGGTGCTGTTAATAATCTTGTTATTTTTTCGACTATCCCTTGTTTCAGTTTAAACATGATTTACTTAAATCACTTACAAAACAAGTCAATTATTTTGCGATTGTAGTAGTTTTCCGACGTTACAACTTAACAACACACTAACCACCGGTCAAAGACAGTACAATAACCTGATTACTCCGCTCAATATTGAGGACACCTCTACGAACGTCACTTAGCTTAACATAATTTAACCAGCGGGATTTCCTTTCATCATTTTCTAGAAAAACGCACAATCCTGTAATATTTAGGTGCTTGAGATCGTTAAAACTCTAGCCTATAGTCCACCAAACATACTCAATAAGAGTCAAAAGACAGATTTTTTTAATAAGTTGAATTTTGATTTCGTAAACTTCTTCAATAAAACTAACTACAAATACCTCGAAAATTTTATGGTAAATGAATAATTTATTGCCAAACATCACCGTGCTTCAAGTTAGTTTTGCAAGTAACTATAATATCGGGCCTACTAATTGCTTTTTTCAGTTAAATTTATTTCTTTGTTTTTGCTAACAGGCAGTCGTAGAAGTGCAGAAGTGGGGAAACGGTGGATGGCGGAAAAGGATGGTACAATACACCGTCAAAAACTGTGACAATCTCTGGCTAATATTTGGAGATCAGGTTCTTAAAGCGAGGAAGTATCTTAATCCCACCCCCACACATTGCCCCATTCCAGCGGTAGGTGTGTTTTTATTAAATCAATTTACGTATCAGTGCATTTTTGTGATTTATTCAATTGACTTTCGAATAATTATTTTAAGGAATCCTACTCTCTGTCAAATTCTTATTTTGGGCAAAAATTTCATAGTGGTATGGAAAACACCATTGACAACAAGCTGGTCAGCGTCCGTTACCAACTTCCAGCTCCTTAAAATGCAAGTTGCCCTACAATAGCAGTTTTTGGATACACGCACTTTAAATAGACAATATAATATGTTTTGGATGCTATAAAAATAAAATAACAATACTAAGCCAACCAGCCAAATTCAACTGCATTTAGATTAACAGAAGGTAACAGATGTGAACCAAAAACACTATGGCGAGAGTACTTTTTAATTGTTCTCGATTCAATTCTTCTAACATCACAAACATTAATGAGGAAAATTAGAGGTAATAGTAAAATATTCGACTCATTTAGAATTGTAGGTGTAATTGTCAAATTCGTGAAGCCCCTCGATCTTCTACCATTACAAGATAAAGTGTGGAATAAATCTACAATGAGTTGAAATAATTTGTCACTCTTTTAAAAGTGACTAGCAATGTAGGTATCGTTTTACAGTTGTACTAAAATATAAAAGTACTAGTGACTAGGTAAAACCATTGACTATTGGATACTGTAGTAGACTTCCCATCTATATGGATCAGCTGTCACAAATTTTTTGTTAAAAAGGGACGTAGTTGTGTGAGCCAGTCACAGAATGCGCTAGTGACTAAAACTCTATTTTCTACCTAATTTTTTGTTGCTGGCCAAGTTTATGAGTCATAACTGTTGCTATAGCTCACAATATTTTGAATTGGTAAAAAAGACTGTGTATTTGACAGAAATCAGTAATTTAGAACAGCACAATCTGTCGGTGGCTCACATCAACTACTAAGTTTTTGTAAAAAAAAAAACTGGCTACAAATTTAACATGGGGATGGAACGTCTAGTAAAACATAAATTGGTTTCAGGGGACCTACATAGTGAACAACTGGCCAATAGATGTAAGCCTAGCCCACGTCGTACCGGTGATGGAGTATGCAAAATACAGAGGAATCTCAAGGTTGTACTACAAAGATGAACGTGTGGGTTGTATGATGACCTTATTCAACTTGGTGCCCAAAGTTCCAAAATAGCGATGTCAAATTCTAAATCAAAAGTGGTTTGCTTTTGTATTGGTTTTTCAAGTTCTAAATAAAAAGTTATTTGCTTTTATTTCTGTTTCTTAAACTCTAATCCTATTACCAAAATCATGGCAAAAGATCCCACAAAGAAGCTTCATGAAGATATTTTTGCAGAATCATCTATGGAAGTATTCATTCGATAATAAACTCTGTTTATTTAGATTGCAAAATTATCTTTTGCAAATCAAATAAACTTGTTATGCCTTGTCATTTATTGGTCGGTTTATTGATAGTCCTCCAGTATTATCACTACACCTTTAATTCAATGTATTTAATTCTGCCGGTTTTGGCATTATTGGACAGTGGTGTGTACATTGTAATTATTACAGTTATCTTATTAATAGTTTTACATCTCTAACAATTACTTTGTGCGGGATGTGCTCAAAAGCATTCAAGGCTTCTCATATTCAATTAACTTGTAAGGAATGTGAAAGTGTGTTCAGCGGAAGTTGCTTAAAAATGGGTAAGACGGACGTGACGTGGAGCCTGTATTAAGAATGACCATTAAGTGTGGAGGTGCCTGCCTTGCGGAGACAACAGAAACAGCTTACGATTTGAGACTGAATTGCAAGAAGGTGAGTTTAATAGACGATATCAAGAGGAAAATTAATAAAACTTTGGAACTTCAAAGTCAGTAGTTCAACTTGAATAAATCATATGAAAGTCTGAGTGAGCGATTGGCAGAAAATTCCAAACTTTAAAAGATCAAAACTTGTCCAATTAAAATTGCTTCAGAACCATAAACTACCTAGTAAGTGAGAACAACTGATGTGGAACGTAAACTTGAAGAAATGGAAGAGTATCCACTAGCTAATGCTGTGAAGATTCAGGGTTTGCCTCTACAAACAAATAAATACAGGGTGGTGCAAAAAGGATGGTCGGTTTTGAAATGAACATAACGGAAAAGTAGTGTTTTAGTATTTTGCAGAGTTGTAGTATTTTGTTTAGAGTCAAAAAAAGGCCATGAAATATCACTTTTACAACAAAATATCATAGTTACTCCCACCATTTACCCAAAACAAGGGTGTTTGACAAGCTAATGCGGGAAAAGGATGTGTCAGATTGCTGATACAATATTTTTATTATTGTTGTAGGTAGCTCAAGTGCTATTTTGTTTCAATTTTTGTAACATTTTGTTTCACGCTGAGACAAAATGGTCTCAGCATCAATATTATTAAGCGTAGATCAATCGTGTAAATCAATGATATCACTAAGACCAATACGTCCCAACAAATAGTTAGAGATAACGTATACTTTACACCTAAACATTTAAATACAAAATTAATAGCCTACATTAATATGTCCAATAAACAGACAGGCAACCGAAATCATCAATCATTTTATTAACTTTTGTAATTCGAAACCTTAAAGTTTTACAAAATCAACTTTGACCATGCTAAGGACCAATAAGGTTCAAGGATTGAGAGAGAAGAAGTAAAATTCTAATTATCAGAACTTCAACTAATCAGCTGTTCAGGCCAGTTTAATTGTTGGGTGGTGCAATTAGTGTATGGTACAATGTTTCGTTGCATCACTATCAGTGGCAGTGAGAAGTTATAAACGAAAACATAACCTCTCTTAGAAGTTACGAGTAGTGATTTTTAGTAGTTAAACACTGTCGTAGGTACGCAAAGTAGTGTACGCAACTCGCGAGTGTTAACGACACTCGTAGAAGTTTAAATTTTCTACTCGTGTTGTTAACACTATCTTTACGCAATCGTTGCGCAAACTATTATTAGGATATAAATAAAAGAAATACTAAACTATTGGTGTGCAGCGAAACAAATGAACGCATAGTGTGAATGAACCAATGAGTTTGAAGTTATATCCGTACAAAAAAAACTCCGTTTTAATAAATAAATACTGATGACAATCGTGAGAACGGAAGCTTATAAGTGAACAAATCATACATCTATATTGTGATAGTTACAGATCAATATCCACAGATAAACACACAGGAAACCGAGCAAAACACAACATTTGTGTTGTCGGAGGTCAAATGAGAGGTAAACATCAACGCACGATTCCGCTGCGATGAGTGGCAAAATAGCCTTGTTGTTGGTTATTGGAGTCAAACTGACCACGGGAGCGTTCGGACCTAAAATGGTAAGTAACATTTGGTTTACGTCATACTGCAGCAAAAACATCAGTTTTCAACGCGTTCAACACAAGGAGAAAGTTAGTTTTGTCCTTGGCTGAACAAAAACGGTTTGGAGTCGAGGAAAGAGATACTTTGGAAAGGAATAGTTGCGATTAATACGTGTATCGTATTGTTATTGACATGTACTTATATTTATTACTGTGTACCTTGTATATTTGCCAACAATAAATACTTACTAGCCAATATTTGGATTTGTTTACTGTAAGATACTAGAAAATGTATAATAATGTGTAATACCAAAATTATTATAGCTTTGATTACTAGGTGATCTAACTCCTGTTGAATCTAACTTTCTTCTGACGTCCAAAAGTAGACAAATAATTCAAAAAAACCTCATCAACAGCTGTTTCTCAATATCAAAATCAGTTTTTAATTTTCTGTTATCTTAAGAGGGTTCTTCCCGGTCAATTCAAGATGGCGGCTAAACATGGTAATGTTTCTAAACATGCCTCCACGGTACAAGCTCTCAACACACTCCAATGATTGTGTGTTTTTTGTGCTCTTAACATATCAGAGCTTGCATTGGGTGGAGCAAAAATAGTTTTACCTATTATTTAGAAGTTAAAATCGCATGTGAAAAAGACTAATTTACGGATTTTCAAAATGAATTTGTAAATGCTTAATGACAGAATTACGAAGTTTCAGTTCAGCCAGTGCATAGTTTGGATCTTTGTGAATATTTTACAGTTTAGTTCAACTCTATAAATACTTTAACAATGCCAGGAGGTAATTTTTTGTAGGGCCATGTTTAGTGATAAACAGCCAAAAGATGGAACCCTCTTAATGTTCTGTATATTTCATAGTTGAATCTGCAGATAGAGTTTTTCCAAAATTGTTTGTTGGTCTTTGTTATGTTTCTATATTTAATTTAGTTAAGACTGATGCAATTAAAATATTGTATGTCTTGTACAAAAAAAAGGCATTGAATATATAATATTTCCAGACGTAATTGACTGACACAGTACTTCATTTCTACAGGGACCGTATGAGATTGAAATTTTAAAGATGGAGCAATGCGAAGACCCTGGATCTGGTAAAATATATTTCCCCAGCAGAATAACTTTTGTTGGGAAAGGCAAATACTTCTACAATGAGACCTTCAAACTTGAAGAACCGGTTGATGAAAACACAAGGGTAACTTGTTTCAATGTTATTCTTATGGGAAATACATATCTAATTGTTAGATCACTTCTGTACGCAAACACTCTAAATTTGGCGGCATTCTTGTCGAAATCGAGGAATGCACCTGAATCGAACAATCTTTCTATTTATTAATACGTTTAACAATCCTAGTGTTATTTATTTGGTGAGTCGGTGGCTCAGTCGATATTGTCACGGACTTCGGGTCCAAGGCAGCGATGTCGTGGGTTCGGATCCCGGTCACTGTCGCAAACATTTTATAAGTACAGCTCACCTTTGTACTGTACCAGCTCACTCCTTGCTTTGCTGGATACGATCCACGCACGAGCAGTTAGTCTATGTGGACGGGCAAATGCAAGGTTAAAAGAGGCCGCCAACCTCTTAAAAAAGAGGTTAAATACCTTGTTGCCAACGTAATCCTTGGTAGCCTTAATGGCGATCGGTTTCGATACACTTATGGTGTCATTGTCAAGTCTAGAAGTGGTTGTCGCTCCTAGGAGGTCGACAAAAAGTCTTCAGAACACATCAACGAGATATGAAGATATGGTGATACCCGGAACCCGCAGCCACGCCGCTATCATCAGTTGTATAGCCATACAGTATAATTTTCCTAGACCTTTTTTTGCTTTTATTCCTATCTTGTTGATGTGTTCTGAAGACTTTTTGTCGACCTCCGAGGAGCGACAACCACTTCTAGACTTGACAATGACACCATAACCGGTAGCCATTAAGACTACCAAGGATTACATTGGCAAGGTATTTAACCTCTGGAATAGGAATTGTTAAGTAGTCCGGAAAGCGACACCTAAAAATTACAACAAGTTTAACTTCAATTTTCTAAAATATTTCTTCAATGAAACATCTAAACACAAAAATTAAACAACAAGGAAAATAACCAGATTTTCATTTGTTATAGAAAACTAACTCATACCTTCATTTTTTTATAAGCACCAACGTGTAACTAGTAAGTTTGTCACGTAACTATAATTGTTTCTACTAATTGATTTTTTCAGTAAAATGTATTTCTTTATATTTGATCACAGGCAGTATTAGAACTGCAGAAGTGGGGAAACGGCGGATGGCGGAAGAGGGCGGTTCAGTACACCGTCAAAAACTGTGAAGATCTCTGGCGAAGAATTGGAGATCAGATTCATGAAGCATTTAAGTATACTAATCTTACCAAGGACATCAGTTGCCCCTTCCCTCCGGTAGGTGAGCTTAAAAAAGATATCTGTGCGTTTAGTAATTTATTTTACTTCCGTTTGATTAAGATATTCCTACCACTGCATGGGAATGATCACATTGCCACAGCTGTAAACAGTCCGCAAAATAGCCATTTTCCGCTTTATTTTTTCTCCCTCACGTTTTAGAGCTGAATCAGCTGATTTAACTGTTGGCAAATAGCATAGCATAAAAAAGCAAACACAACCTAAACGCTATTTGATATACAAATCTAATCTGTGTGTAATTTTAAGTTAATTATGGTGGTAGGAAAGATCTGGTGAGTATTAAGAGCACTCTCCAAATGTATGGCATGTACAGTTCTCGAGCGGCAATTAATACACAAATGGCTTTTAAAACATCTTAAACACTCCGCCATACAAACAGTTCAATTCTTATTTTGGACACAACAAATACTAGAGAGTGGTGATCAAAGTGTACGGGTTGGAATTGTACCCCCTATAGGTGAGATTTATTTAACGACTCAGAAAACACGCTGGTAAACACCCGTTACTTACTTCCAACACCTTAAAATACAAGCTTGTCCCCTACAAGAGAAGAATTTTGATATAGCCTATGTATTTTAAATAGAAAATTAAAATTTTTTTGGAAACTACGAAGGTGAAACACCAATCCTAACCTAACCTACCTTATTCAACTGCTTTAGGATTGGGGGGAACGAACTAAACTAAAGTAAGAATACCCTTCAATTGTTCTGGTTTAAATTCTTTATAACTGCAATGTTTAAGAAGGTAAATCAGTAACAATAGTAAAATAAATGGTATCAGCAAACTGACACTTTCTCCTACAAGCTTGTAAGGAAACTTTATCATGGTTAAGTGGTGAGAGTAACTATGACATTCTATAAGGATAAATCACAAAAGTTGCAATAACTTTTAAACCGTGATTGTTACAGCGATAGAGAGTTGCACTATTTTTGTATAACATTATAAAGACCATAACACATTAGTTTTAATCAAAACCGGCTTCTTTTCCTAAAATCAGATATTTTGCTATTTTATAGGGGTTTTATGGGAAATAACATAAGTTATAATAACTTTTGAACCGTACTTTTTACAGATATGGTATATGTACCATTTTGTTCAAAATTTTAAGGACCATAACATACTAATTTTAGTCAAATCGGCCTTTTTTCTAATATCCAATTTTGTGTTTTTATGGGAAATGACAAAAATGCCTGGAGATATCATGGAGTAGTACCTACATACAAAATTTCATCAAAATCGGACTACAGGTGTAGTCTGTAGCTTTAAAATAACATAAGTTACAATAACTTTTAAACATTATTTTTTATGGAAATGTGATTTTTAAAATTTTGTTCAGAATTCAAAGGACCATAACATACTCATTTTAATGCTTTTTTTATCCGATTTTTTGTTTTTATAGGATTTTTATTGGAAAATAAAATAAATGAAAATAACTTTTGAACCGCAATGTTTACGGAAATGGTATTTATAACATTTGTTCAGAATTAATAACATACTAAATTGTCATCAAAATCGTTCGGGCCATTTGAGAAAATCTTATTTTTCCGTTATGGGTTATTTATTTTATGGGTTTTTATGGGGAAATCACCATTGAAAATTTAAATTTTGAGAAAATTAAAACAACGCCTGGAGACATAATGGATAAGTTCCTTCGTACCAAATGTCACCAAAACTGGACGACAGGTGTGGCCTGTAGCTCTGTACACATTCAGACACACCGGAGACATCACTTTGAAACCACTTTTTGGGTTCAGGGGGACCCGAAACGGATATATCCACTCAAAACTAAAACTCGAAAACTTTGACGAAACCAATACTTTCTCCATATACTATTAGGGAGAGAAAGTAAAAATCTGACTCATTTAAAATTTGTCGACATTTCCTCCAATCAAATAATAGTTTCTGCTGTTAAAGTATACAGTGTGGAAGAAAATTTTGAAACAAATTGGAATCATTTACCTCTATTTTTAAGGCATGTAGCAGTATGAAGTATAAAGTGTGAAGAAGGTATGACTCAATGTATAGTTTTACTAGTATATAAAAACTAGTGAGTAACAAAATTTTGGTTTCAGGGGCTCTACGTCGTGAACAACTGGCCTGTATCTCTAAACCTGACCAAAGTCGTACCAGTCATGGAGTACGCAAAGTATAGATTGGTCGTGAAATTTTACCATAAAGATGAATACGTAGGTTGTATGATGTTTACAGTGAATATGGTACCCAAAGATGCATAATAGGGTGTACTATTGTAAAATTATTGATTAAAAGTTGTTTGCTTTTATATTTGTTTGTCCAATTCTAATTAAAAAGTGGTTTGCTGTTTTTATTTTCCCAGTTGTTTTTAGTGAATTTCCCATATAGGGAATAAGCTATTACCGTAGGTCTCATGCTAAGACCTGGACCCGGGACCGATTTTTTTTGTTTTGAGGTCTCCAGAGGCCAAAAACACCATCCGTTCAAATTCATATATATATATATATATATAAAGATATATATATACAGAGGGTGGCCAAATGATTAGACTAGACGTATCAATTTATATTTTGCTTGAATGTTTTTGTATTGTTTTTGTATTGATTCTGATGGCATTGGCAGCACTAAATCAGCTGTTGTTTCTTTTACAGTAAAAGAAACAGCAGCTGATTCAGTGCTGCCAATGGCATCAGAATCAAAACAAAAACATTCAAGCATAATATAAATTGGTTTTATACTGTAGTCCATACCAAATTAGGCAGTTTTATTTTAGTTTATACATGTTTTCTAACCAAATTCAAAGTTAAGTCTAAAATGCATTGAACTACAGTACATACGTCTAGTCTAATAATTTGGCCACCCTCGACCAATTTAATTTAATATTAAATTATTATAGTAAATAAAGTACAACTGAGCACCCTGGATATCATATTTTTAATAGAAGTGACGTGTTTCAGACATAAGTCCATTTTCAAACTTCAAATAACATAATACTTAACTTTTGTTTATATTGTTTGTTTGTATATAAATAAATTTAATTAAAATCATACAGATGATTTATAGAACTAGACAGGATTTGGAAAAATCTTTGTTACTGATTGTTACGTATGAGTGTATTTATTTAAAAATTGAATATTAAAAGTGATTATTCGTAGGTAAATTACGAAGGACCACCGCAAATTACATTGCGGAAAATAATAAGAAACTTGAAAACATGTACCTTTACAAACTCCAGTGCAGACGTAGGGAGAAGTGGGAAGGATGGCGTATTTGAACTTCAGATTAGTGTCGGCGCTGTGACGAACCCTTGGATGTTGGATGAGACGATTTTCGCTCTTCTTTCTGCTTGAAGGCTTGATGTTCGCACGTAACGCTAAGTCTTTTATTGTTCGTGGCCACTTTAATTACACGGAAGTCGCGACACCGCACAGGACACTTTGATTACTTGATGGTGCATGATTCGTGAGTTAATAAAACGCAAATAAAAATACTACTTGTCACTAAAACAACAAAATAACTTCAGAATAAGATTGGACAATGTCAATTGCAATTAAAATGAAAACTAAAAACAACTTGATTAGTTAATGTTAATGGCAATGAGGTTAAAAGAGGTGGCCGGTACTAGACCATATTAATAGGGCCGTGGACAGAGAGAGAATGACCAGGATACCTGTCTGAGGCGAACGACAAGCGATAAGGACAATGACATGAATAGAGCGATAAGATTGTTGTCTGAAGATAAAACGGACTTGGGTTCTGTGGCTTTGGCGTTTGGCATTACCATTTGTATTTAAAATAAAATAAATATTCTTCTTTTGAATTAATATAAAGTTAATAGTTCCTTTTTCCTTCTAAATACTAAACATACAGGGGGCCTTGAATCCTCCAGGATTCAACAAATCAACACAAAGATAATATTCCAATAAAATAAATCTTCTTTCCAAAGTGGTTGAGAAAAAATACTATTTACAAATTAAAGTTCTTGAAGTTACTCTTGATAAGCAGGCAAAGGAAAAACCTTGTGAGCTGGTCGAGTCAAGAGTCCTTGTTGAGTTTTCAAGTGGACGACCCGTACAACCTCATCCTTTCCAGGGGAGACACCCACAATCCGAGCTAACGGCCAAGAAAGAGGAGGAGTAGGCTGATGTACTAAGGCGAGGTCACCAATGCGAAGATTGGAATTTTGTTCAGTCCATTTAACCCGCTGATGGAGGGTGTGAATGTACTCCAGTTGCCATCTCTTCCAGATGCGTTGATTTAGGGCCTTGACCAAATGCCAGTGTTTCAGGCGATTATCAGGAACATCTTCCAGATTTTCATCAGGAACAGGGACAAGTGGAGCTCCGACCAAGAAATGTCCTGGAGTGAGCGCAGTGACATCTGAAGGGTCGTTTGACATTGGTGTGAGAGGTCTCGAATTAAGTATCGCCTCCACTTGAGTAGTCAGGGTCATGAACTCTGAGAGGGTTAGGACATGTTCGCCGATGACACGGCGGAGGTGATGCTTGGCACTCTTAACGGCTCCTTCCCAGAGACCACCTTGGTGAGGAGCAGCTGGGGGGTTGAAATGGAAGGTAATGTCTTGGTTTGAGGAAAATTCAAGAAGAGATGTTCGTTCAGCTGACTTGAAGAGAGCTTGAAAGGCGTTATTAGCACCAACGAAGTTTGTCCCGCAGTCCGAATATATGTTCTTGCAGAGGCCACGTCTTGACACAAAACGAGTTAGTGCAGCAATGAAGGCATCAGTTGATAGATCAGTAGCTACTTCAATGTGAACAGCCTTTGTTACAAGGCAGACGAAGATACAAATGTACGCTTTTGTCAAACGTATTGAACGGAGGTTATGAACCTTGATGTTGAAAGGACCACCGTAGTCCAGCCCCGTGTTGAGAAATGGACGAGAAGGTGTCACTCGGGATTTTGGGAGATCACCCATCAGTGGAATTTTATTATGTGGTTTGTGTCGAAAGCAGATGACACACTTAAAAATTCGAGAGCGTATTGCGCTGCGGGCAGAAAGAATCCAAACGCTCTGAGCGAGAAGGGATTGAGTTAATTGAGGCCCTGAATGCAAATATTTCTGGTGATAGAAATCAATAAGAATGTCAATCACATGATGTTTCTTAGGTAGAATTACAGGATGCTTAACGTCTTCTGAAAGTTGAGATGCATTCAATCGTCCACCAACACGAAGTAAACCTGATTTATCAATGAAAGGATGGAGACGTCGAAGTGATGAATTGGTTTTAGATGAGTTGTTCTTCAACGCTGCGATGTCATCTCCAAAAACCGTTTCTTGAACCTTCTTGAAGATTGTCAGTCGACTTTGAGTTAACTCAGATGAGGTGAGAGGGCCTGAGCACCTTTTTGAGTGCCGGAGGTTATAGATGAATCGTAAAATGTAACCCATCACTCGTGTAAGTTTGCTGAAGTGAGAGAATCTAGTGTCTATCTAGGTCTTCAATCGATGAGGTGGTGTCTGCAGCCAAGTTAGGGTGATAGTAGAGTCACACCAGAGAATGATGGATGAAATCTTTAATTTTATCTTGTAAATAGAAACCACATAGGCTACTATCTGGGCAAGAAGATGGGCGGCGCATAGTTCCAAGCGTGGAATAGTAAGTTTTTTCAAGGGAGCAACCCGAGTTTTTGACATAATCTGCCTGATTGTGACAGTCCCATCACTGAGTTCACAGCGCAAGTAAACAACTGCAGCATAACCATTCTCGGAGGCATCTGAGAAGCCATGTAATGCAGTAGTGCATGCTCGTGACACTTGAAGAGCTCGAGGAATTGAAATCTTTCTCAGGCTGTCTGTAGATGAAGTGAAACTTTGCCACATTTCGAGTAGGGCAGCCGGAAGTGTTTGATCCCAATCCAATCCTTTGGTCCACAAGAGCTGCATAAAACGTTTTGCCCACATCACAATTGGGGAGAGGAAACCACAGGGGTCATATATTTGTGCAATCACACTGAGCACCTGACGCTTTGTAGTTGCGCTTGCGGAAAAATTAAAATTGTATGTAAAACAGTCAGTAACTGGAGACCAGTGAATGCCTAAAATGGTGTGATGAGGCTGTGAACTATCTTGAAGGAACACCGGAGTCTCTCGATGACCATCTGGAAGATCTAGAAGAAGTCGACTGGAGTTGGAAGTCCATTTCCTTAGCTCGAAGCCTCCACGTGCTAATAGGGCGATGAGTTGTCTCTGGAGTCTTAAAGCTTCTTCTTCAGAATCTCCACCAGAAATCACATCGTCAACGAAGGTTTGTGTTCGAAGAATCTCTGCCGCTTCAGGGAACGAGTCGCCTTCATCATTGGCAAGTTGGTGCAAAGTCCTGATTGCGAGGTATGGTGAGCAATTGACTCCATAGGTTACTGTGGTAAGTCTGAAGGTAGAGGGTGGTTGATCTGGACGAGTATGCCATAGGATATACTGAAACTTCTGGTCCTCAGGATGGACTTTAATCTGTCTGTACATCTGCCTTATATCACATGAAAAAACTACACTATGAGTTCTAAACATGAGCAACAAGTCACAAATGTTGGTTTGCATTTTTCTTCCTGTAAGCAAAATATCATTGAGAGATGTACCATTGGAGGTTTTTGCACTAGCATCGAACACAGTACGTAGTTTAGTGGTACTGGATGATTCCTTCAACACCCCATGATGAGGTAAATAGTAATGCGGGGCGGATAAGTCAACATTATGAGCAAGTTCCATATGTCCCGAAGACGAATAATCAGACATGAAGTCGAAATATAGAGATTTGAATTGAGGTTGAGCCTTAAACTTTTTCTGAAGTGAGTGTAGTCTTTTCTCGGCAGCAAAGACAGAATTTCCTAGAGCAGGGTGTTCAGTCTTGAACGGTAGTCGGACGCAATATCTGCCAGATTGGTCCCGAGAGTGAGTGGAGAGGAAGTGTTCTTCACACATTTTATCATCATCTGATTGCTTTGATGCGACTGGTGGCTCCTCCTGGTGCCAAAACCGCTGGATAGAATTGTGCAGTTCAATGTCATTGACTGCCAAAAGCATGGTTGACATGTGAGAACTAGTGTCATCATCCAGCTTGATTGCACAGGGTGCGTCACCCATTACCAAAAATCCAAAGTGTGAGCCTATTAAACTTGGTAGGTTAGGGCCGAGGTTGTGAACTGCTTGAGTGAGCATGAGAGGGAAAAGTGATCCACCTAAAAGAACATCAATCCCACCAGGTAAATGGAACATGGGATCAGCCAAAACGTAAGAATTTACCATCTCAATGACACCAGAGGATATAGGCATGCGGGGTAAATCAACACATATTTTATCAAGAATTAAAAAATTTGATTCAGTAGAGATAGTTTTTCCAT